TTTTTTTATTTATAGTTATTGACAATCTGAAATACACATTTCTTTAAGCCAATGTGCTGACTAGTGTGCAGATTTTCAGCTTAATTAATGCACACCTTACATGACGTGAGTGAGCGACATCCATCGATGTTCACCTCATAGCCATAGGTCTTGCGGTGATTTGCGTTTTAGACGTCTGTTAATCTGTGGAAGTAACAGGCGACGAATAAGTGGGTTGTCATGTTCTGTAAGTTTGTTGACGTAGGCAGAGCTGTGTTGGTGGATAGCTTCCGTGACGTGCTGTACTTTGAGGTCAGTATGTAGAGTGCGGTTTGAGATGCACCAGGGTGCAGCGGTTATGGTTCTTAGGCTTTTTGATTGTGAACATTGGATGATGTCGACTGTAGATTTGAATGCGGTTCCCCATAGTTGGATGCCATATGTCCATATAGGCCTGATAACTGTTCTGTAGATGAGCAGTTTGTTTGAAAGGGAGAGGTTGGATTTTCTGCCAATCGGCCACTTGAGCTCTGCAGCTTTGACGTCCATCTGCTTGCGTTTCTTGAGAATATGTGGGCGCCAGGTAAGTTTGCTATCTAGGGTGATCCCGAGATATGTGATCTGCTCTGCTTGTTTCACGTTTTCCTGGTTGAAGTGGACTGGGGGGCAAGTACCTTTGCGGAGCGTGAAAGTCGTGTGTGTGGATTTGGCACAGTTGATTTTGACTTTCCATTTGTCTGTCCACTTCTCTATGAGATGTAGGTGTTCTTGTAGGTTGGACGAGGCTAGGAGTGGATCTTCATGGGCGGCAAAGATGGCCGTATCATCGGCGAATGCGCCAATCGTCGTCATTGGTGTTGTGGGCAGGTCATAAGTGTATAAGTTGTAGAGGAGAGGTCCAAGTATGCTTCCTTGGGGGACTCCGGCTTGGATCGGGAGGGGGGTAGATGTTTCCTCATGCATTCTGACAACAAAGGAGCGGTCGCTGATGTAGGATTTGAGGAGATTGTAATAAGTCTGGGGAAGAAGTTGTTTTATTTTATAGAGGAGACCAGGATGCCATACTTTATCAAAAGCCTGGGCTATGTCTAAGAAGACTGCTGTGCAGTAGTGTTTATTGTTGAACGCGGCAGTGATAATATCAGTGATTCGATGAGCTTGTTGTATAGCTGAGTGGGCTTTCCTGAACCAAAATTGGTGATCTGGGAGCCATGATTGGAGGTTCGATTCTTGAGCAATCCTGGCTAGTATAGTATATCAACCAACTAAGCTACCGCGTACCCCATTCTATAATTCTATAATGTAAAAGCCGAAGTTCACAGGGCAGTGACTATGAAAAATAATACCCTCTGGGATATTACGCAGAATAGTATGGTGGCAGTTTATCGACGTTTCGGAGTAGCACATCGAGTCCACCTTTCAGGGTACTACAGTAAGTCGCACAGAAAGAAGAGCGACAAGATACCACGCCTCACAGTCACATGAGTGAGAACCTCAAATTGAGAGTCTGACACAACTTAATTTGGACTGACCTGGATTCCTTTTCTGAAGCGGAAAGAGTCCAAAGATTTTCATGGTGTATATAACGGCCTTCAACTCGTCAAAGAACTCGGAGGCTGTTTCCTCTGCTTCAGGAATCGCCACGATTGTTTCATCTTTGGCCAGAGAAGATTCATCAAGATGGCGCCATTTTGTGACTTCCGGTAGATCGCATTTCCGATCATTCGGAAGCTGTGATCCAATTCGTTTGAGCTGCATCACCTCCAGAATCACTGACAAGTGAAATTAATTTTGTTGGTCATTGGATATAACGGTAAAGTTGGTCATGCGTTTAAGCTGCAGCGGAGAGTAGGTCTCTTGTAATTGGCCTTTGGGCTTCTAAGTCAATACATGAATAAATGAGTACTTACTTACTCATGGAGCTGAGCCCTTCTTGAGTAGCTGACAATTGTGCAGTTACTCAAGAATTTCCCAGCATTTTATGGAACCCGAAGGTTCATTACCGTGTTCACAAGAGCCTTCCACTGGTCCCTATCCTGAGCCAGATCGATCCAATCTATACCATCCCATCATATCTCTCTAAGATCCATTTTAATATTGTCCATCCAACTACGTCTTGGTCTTCCCAGTGGTTCCTTTCCTTATGGCTTTCCCACCAATATTCAATATGCATTTCTATTCTTCCCCATTCGTGCTACATAAACAAGTAATGAATTATTATTAGCATAAACATTAACATTATGACACCTTTAATCTCATTACGCTGTGTATGTAATTGGCATCGAGGCTTTTGAGTCAGTACATTAACCACGGCCGATCAAATTAGTTCCTGGAATAGAACCCAAAACTTTATTGGGAGGGTTTAAAAAGAGGGCCTCCCACTCGTCTGAGCTGGCCATCACAAAAACGCACAAGTCACAAGCGTCATTTTTCTAGGATGCTAGACTGTTTTGAGAAACAAAATTATCTGAGTTTTTTTTTACGATAACCCGCGAAATTCTGTGCTTAAGTAGAGGCCTTGCGACGAGCTGATCACCCGTCCAAGGAGTCCTACCGTCTGTAAAATGATCCTCAAACTGAAAATCAGAGGCCAGAACCCAAGGGGGCCACATGCAAACAAAACTACATGCAAAATCATAGTTTTATATATTGAATGTACTCACTACATGCCATGAAGCTCTGTAAGACTGACGTGTGGGTGTATCTTCAATAGCAGAATCCCATGAATGCGGTTTCCTTTTCGACCGGTCAGTTTCTTGCATTGTAACGCACTGCGCTAATGTACAGATACACCTCTGACACTTGAAGAAGCGATGCGGTGCTGATGTCACGGGCTCGCGGCCGTGCTGGGACAGTCTGTGTGGGCCCCAGCGGTTCGTGGCGCCTTGCCGTGAGCAACCCGCATGGCGAGCCTTCTCTCGCGGATCTGCGAACATTACTGCAACAGATGTTACAGTGCCCGAACTGTCTAACTCCACGGAGGTAAGTTCGTCTTGGGAAACCAGCATTTGTTCAGTTGGGTCTTTTATCGAGTTCGGATGTTCATTACCTTATACAAAACAACCCGTCGCTTGTCCCAATCCTGAGACAAAGGACACCAGTCCATCCTACAATCATATTTCTATAAGATCCATTTTAATATTATTCTCCCCTCGAGTTGTGTTCAATAGATCCCGCAATAATCGTATCTTTGACCGCCAGTTTTCTATAAGTTGAGCATGTATGCTCGTATGCTACACTCAGGTTCATCACTGAATATATTTGTAAACTTAGAGGAGAGGTCAATATTCTGGGAGATAATACCGCAATGTTGCGGGTTCGATTCCCCATGAGATCAGTATATTTCTTAAGTAACCTAAACCTTCCCGCAGCACAATGACCCTGGGGTCGACTCAGTCTCTAACAGAAATGAGTACCAGGAATCTTACTGGGGGTAAAGGGCGGCCGGTGCGTTTGTGCTTGACTAATTAAGCACTATATCATGAAGGCTTATATGGGAATGGGTGTATAGATCCACGTTTCCTTGACCTCGGCTCTAGTTGGAGGTGAGTGTTCAGTTTCATGCTCGGGCCGCTTTACCTCCAGGGAAAGAGCCCCTGGTACTCATTGGATAAGGGGCGGGGTGTTCAATGAGAAACGGGAAACGATTTCAAGGCGACAACGGCGTCTAACTGATATGATATCACAGAAATGAGGAAAACCGTAAAGAAACTTCAGACAGGAAATCTGCTGTCCTGGAGGATAATCGAACAGAACGCCTCACAGATTGGAGTGAAGATCTTTACCGTTAGTCAACCTGCTCGGGTTTTAAGGTCCGATTCTGGCAGAAATACTTTTCGCCGTTTGTTTACGCTAGAGAACACTACTGAAACTGGCTTCCTTTTGGGTTCAGCCAATTGGTAAACTGATATTCTTGGCGGACTGTACAATGGAAGTGTATAAACATGAGACTGCTGTTCCATTATGTAGGCAGCATCTTATACTTTGATTTCTATGATCTTTGGAACCTCTGTCAGTGGACAGGCTCTTTCATCGCTTTCGGGCATAAACACTGGATGTCAGGTAAATATTACGTGTGCATGACATCACCTTATATCTCCCACAGGTACTCCAATAGCAGGAGGACCATCAGGGTAGGAAATGAGAAGGAATGTTGCTCCTAGCCGCTAGACCTGTACGTACATGAAACCCATTTGGGCCGCCAAGCAAGGTTATCCCCTAAACACAAGCAAGACAATTTGGTTACAAATTTACGTTCCAGTATTTCAGGAATATCCGGTCTAGAAAACCGAGATTAACGGCCATGGGGAATCGTTGAGCTGACCACGCGACACGCTCTATCCGCTACAGTTGGCACTAACTTCTCCGACAAGCGGCGGTCGTTCGGTCGGCATAGTTCGCTTGCGGACTACAGGCCACGGAGTTTGTTTTTTATTTCAAGAGTTTATTTATCGGCAGAAATATTCAGGATATAGCGGAATTTTAATTTCTGTAAATTTATTTACTAATATTTCTCTTCAAATTTTTCATCTTTTCCAAGATTCCATGGGCGAAGAAGTATATATGTGGCTTAGTTAGTTAGTTATTGGAGAGGGTGGGTTTCCCCATGTACTTAGACCAGTATTGGTCCATTGTGCTTCCCTCTATGATATTTTACCAGTCTCTATACCCTACCGATATTGGTGCGTACCATCAGTCCCGACCGAGCCAGCGAGTTCGGCCTCTACTGGCTTGGCGGTATCTATAATGCTTCCCCCATCTATCAGAGGCGTTAGAGACTACTGTTGGGCGGGAAACGTCCTTGAATTTGGCTCAGTGACCTCCTTTGGAGATATGAGGTTCTTTTACGTGCCGTAAAGCTACGACACGGGACCCACGGCTTAAAGTCCCTCCCGGAGGACTTGTTCCCTGAATTTTTCCGCCCTTAAAAATTCCACGACCTCCGCCGGGTTTGAACCCGTGTACCACGAGTCATGAGGTTGGAACGTTACCTCTAGACTACGGAGGCCGCTATATAAGTGGCTTACTGACATACCGTATGTGTGTAGGTCATAACAGCTTCTTCCAGATCCTCACTATCACTCACCCTACCATTCGGCTCTGTAGGGTTCATCTGCTGAGAGCAAAGACTAAGTCTCTTGTACTGAGGCAAATACTGGCCTATTGTACCAGCCCCAGATGATGGATGAGAATAGGTAGGGGAACCGAAGTACCCGAAGAAAACCTGCCCCATCACAACTTTGTCCACCACAAATCCCACATGACCTGACCCGGGCTCGAACCCGGGCAGCCGCGGTGGGAAGCCAGAAGCTAACCGCTTGAGCTATGTAACGGCCTGACAGCACAGTAAAATAAACCACAATTTCAGGGTTGATAGCATGAGTCACGTGACCATGAGGGTTCTGGCGGAATGTTCCTCCGGTCTAAGTGGACCAACCCACAATGATGCTTCAGAACTGCGCTGAAGTCGGTGTTAACTATAGATTGGGCCGCGCCATAGCTCAAGCGGCTAGTCGCTGATTTCCCACCGCGGCGGCCCTGGTACGATCCCGGGTCTGGTCAAGTGGGATTTGTGGTGGACAAAGTGGCGCTGGGGCAGGTTTTCTCCGAGTACTTCGGTTTCCCCTGCCAATCTTCATTCCACCAATTGCTCCACAATCACCCTCACCTATCATCTGGGGCTGGTACAATAGGTCAGAAGTGGCCGCAGTACAAGGGACTTAGTCCCACCCCACTAGCAATAAAAAAACTATAGATTCTTGCTAGCTCGTGCTTCGACATATTGAAAACTCAGCAAGAAATAAAAGACGGCGTTACTCGACGTAACCATAGCTACGGCATTAACTTCTGACAAGTGTTATAGAAACTGATGTTATATACGCACGCTATTCCCTCAACAGACGGGGGAAGGTACCAGGAACCCCTGAAGATATAAACCGATAAACAGCCACGGTTCGTGTTCTAATCTGCAATTATCAGTTTATATTGCAAACATTTTATTTAATTGCAACGCTACCTACTATTCACTTCACAAATATTGTGTCCTCTGGCATAATATCTAAAAACGTAAAATTATAATTTTGTTTGTTGTTTTGTATAGGTGTAAGAAGCAGTATTTAATATTAAGGTAAGAATATAAACTGGGTATGCTCGGGAAAAGGATGCTGAGGATAACGTCTGGACCTGAGAGGCAAGAAGTTGTTGAAAAATGGAGAAAATTACGTAGTTAGGAGCTTCATAATTTATATCCCTAGCCGGATAATGCATCACATTAACTCATCCACATCAATATTTTACCAATAATCACAGAATTGACACGATACAATCAAACAAAGGCTCATCGCTGCTTCGTGACGTACTAACAGTTTAATGCTCGACAGTTCGTTGCTATGGTAATCTGAAAAAATGCATTATTGCAGACCTTTTTTTTTCTTGGCACTACAGCTCCAGTGGGCCTAGGCCTATCTCCATGAACATTCGGTAGGACTCCTTGGGCGGACGATCAGCTCATCGCAAGGCCTCTACCATTACAGACCTTTCATCTCACCATTATACTTACTTACTTACTTACTTACTTACTCATGGAGCTGAGCTCTTCTTGAGGAGCAGCCAATTCTGCAGCTACTCGAAAATTTCCCAGCATTTTATGGAACCCGTAGGTTCATCACCTTGTTCACAAGAGCCCTCCACTGGTCCCTATCCTGAGCCAGATTTATCCAATTCATACCATCCCATCTCTCTAAGATCCATTCTAATATTGTCCACCCACCTACGCCTTGGTCTTCCCTGTGGTCTCTTTCCTTCTGGCTTTCCCACCAATATCCCATACGCATTCCTTGTTTCCCCCATTCGTGCCACATGACCTGCCCACCTCATCCTCCCTGACTTGATCATTCTAATTATACTTGGAGAAGAGTACAAGTTATGAAGCTCCTCATTATGCAGTTTTCTCCAACCTCCTGTGATTTCATCTCTCTTTGGTCCAAATATTCTCCGCAACACCCTGTTCTCAAACACCCTCAGTCTATATTCCTCCCTTAATGTCAGAGACCAATGCGTCCATTTTATGTACATCGCAAAAGTGACATATAAAAATTTAAAGTTATTAAGATACGGTCATGAACTACAATTTACTATTTCCTCGTGTTTTGCGAGACAAGTTTCAGGCTGGGTTATGGAAATGGGAGTATAATATTCACTTGTACTTCCCAACATCGCGTTTCGAAGCGTTAAACCGTTACGTGTTATCAAGGAATCTGCAGCGCTATTGTAAAATTTAGTGCTCAAAACGTAATTGGTCTCCGTTGTACTTGAATATTCCAGGAACTGAGATAACTGTTCGTCTGACTTCGTTAATTATTTACACGAATTTCTCCGCCTATTGCGTTTAGAGTTTAAGAGTTCATGCATGTATAATACTGCAGTGTTGGCAGGTCAATAACAATTGCACACAACGTTCTTACCATAGGGGGCAAATGTAAAGGAGAATAACATAAAGCAGCGTTGTGATCCAACAAAACAAAACGTAAGTGTGGCCTTCTGTAACACTGTAGGGTAACACAGTACATAACAGATAAGAAAAAGTTAAATCTATCCCTGTAACAGACTCTGGAAGCCCATAGGGTTGTGAGACGTCGAGGTTCCAACATTGTCTTGACCAGCTGTGTCAAACATGCGGCCCCCATAGCCACAAAGTGCGACCCCTCAACTTTTAGAGCTAATTGATATTAAAATCAATATTAAAATTTTAGTAGAAATATTTTTTGTAAAGACAATTTCCCAACAGACCAGAAGACAAGAAGTCTCACGCAGATATAAATTAGCAGCCTGCAGGAAAAGTGATTCTGAGAATTGCAGAAGGGTTTGTCCAACTAACGGTTTGTAAAGTTCGTGAAGGACAAACTATTGTATTTCAGTAGGTTAATGCACTAAAATCCGCACAGCCTCACCACCCCAAGTATTTCCAAGAGTCCCTTTTGGAGGCGTAGTAATAATACAAGGAGGGTGGCAACTGACAGAGAAGTGCAAGGGATTTCTACCGTCAAAACTAGCTTGCAACCCCCAGCCATTTTTAATGGGCTGCTAGCAAACTTTCACTTTTATGACCATTGAGACAAGATACACCTTCCTACTAGTCCGGTAGTCTCTTGTACATTGTCATTCAGTTCATTTTCACACTGCGACAGGTGCTGATGTTACATTGTGATGAACCTATAAAGGTTATAATTAAACATTTAATTATCAACTACGAGTATCAAAATCTAATGTATATTTCTATTTTGAAGTGCGGCCCTTGACTATTATTTAGAGGGCTGAGGTGGCACTCTGTACAAGTTGAGTTTGACATGCCTGGTCTAGACCTTCCGCTCGCAGATGACGGTGAGGTCAGCCTTATGCGCCGGCCGCCATTTACCACCAGGAAAATTCATGGTACTCATTTCTGTTAGGCATGCCGCACACCGGCATGCGTCGAGACATATAACAGTCAAGAAACGATGTCTACGTCATGACGCAAAGAAAGGAGCACAGTTGAAATGAATGAGATCATGAAAACCGCTGCACACCGGTATGAGTCATGATGCTGACGTCAGCTTCATGCTGATGAATCACGAATGAAGCAAGACTGCGTCTTCTGTCTCATGTCTTGATGCTTGACGCAGTTGGTGTGCGGCCGCCCTTAGAGACTGAGTCGACCACAGGGTCATAGTGCGGCTGGAAGGATTAGGTCTATTGAAAAATTCAATGACCTCATCGTGATTCAAACCCGCGACCTTCCGGCTTGTGCCTCAACCGACTACGCTACCGCGTGTCCCAAACAGCACAGTACCTCTTGTCTCTCAATTAAACCACTGATATGCTCTTGATGAATTTCATGTAAGACTTCATCTTGCTATGCAGGCACAAATTTTCTGTAAGAAACATTGTAATACACATGTACATATACACTTTTTACTTAGAATGACCGATAGTGTGACCTCCCAGAATATTGACCTTTCCTCCTGGCACACTCTGTATATCAATATATTACGATGTTGCATTCTGAAATATATTTTTGACATACTTTATGGTCTCATATTAAAAGATGATGTCATGTTCAGCTGCTTCAGAGCAGAGGCCATGAAGGACAGAAATGGAGTGGTAATATTTCCCCGTGAGGAAATTTTCCGCAACACCGGGCCTCATGAAGCATGGCTGAAGAAGAACGTTGTGCTCCCGACTGCGACACCACCTGCTGCCCGTCAACCTGGTTACTTTGCTTCCGACATGAAGCCATTGTTTCGAGTGTACAGACTTCTAGGGATTTTCCCAATTAATATGAAAGATTCAGGTAATATCGAACAGAGGGCCTGAAGGGAAAGCCAATGAACTACAGCCCTTCTCGAGAAGTTAATAATCGTTCAAATGGCGAAGAGATTTACAGAATTTTATGAAATTTTAAGGTTCACAAAACTTTGTTTTGTCCCTATCCAGAGCTAGATAGTTTCTTCCAGGTCCATTATTGTCCAGGTTATACCTTCAAAAGGTCCCTTCCCTTTAGGATTCTAGATTAAAGTTCTGTATTCAATTCTTACCGCCCCCACGCTTCGCCCATCTTATCCTTCCAGATTTTCCTACCATAATAGTATAGAGGATGTCCCAGGAATTCAATATTCTGGGAGCTCATAATATCGGTCATTCTTTCAAAAAAAATTGTATGTGTGCATGTGTTCAGTTCTGAACGGTTTCCGAGCTGTTTCACTGTTCACTGTACAGACGAGCAACACGCCATGCCCTCACACGAGTTGCAAAGTGCATTGATGTTGCCAGTGGAATTTTAGAAAATTTTATGCTAGGTAAACTGTTCCAACTTTGTCGCTTGAACCATAAATAGCTGTACAGAACTATAAGGTTTATTTTGGACTCTATCCATCGTCTGGTATATATAAGACAAAAACCCACAACGTTTCGGAGACTGGATCTCTCTCCGTCCTCAGGTAGATGGGGCAAGATAGACCTATTCAGTTGGGCCCGTTAGAAAGAGCTAGTCTCAATCATTACACTTATATATACTTGTCTTATATACCAGACGATCTATAGAGTCCAAAATAAATATTATAGTTCTCTAGAGCATACACCATCGTCAGAATCCTTTAAAGTCTAATGAATACCGGTATTAGAAACAGTACGTAATATCTCTTTCTTATTAACAGTTTTGGAACTGTACAGCGAAATAGCTCTATCTCGGAAACCGTTCGAAATAGGACACATGAACATATGCACTTATTGCTTACAATGACTGACACTATGACCTCCCAAATATTGACCTTTCCTTCTGGTACACCCTGTATAGTGAAGAATACCTCTTCATTCTTTGGTTTCTTATTAATTTTTTCTTCTTCTTAGGTTCAAGTATTCTCGTTAGCACCCTGTCAAACATGTGTCGTCTGCTTCTGCTTCTGCTTATGCCTTCTGGCTTATTCCGTCTTCACCTGAATCCATTTATCCATCTTGTACGTGTATTATGTATTCCTATATCTGTGTGTCTTTTCTCTCTCTAAACTTCAGAGTTTCTTTTGAATGCTCAACGAATGCACGAGTATCGCCATGATTTTTTTTCCAAGGGAAAGCAGCCCCTTCTCAAAGGGCCACATAATCTGCTCTCACAGTTTAATTCCCTTAGGGCTGTTTCTACTCATCCTCCTAAGTACTAGTACTTATGATAGAAGAATATTTTTAAAAAACTTTAAATTATTTTAATATTAGCATATTTCCTTAATTTTTTCGACGAATGTATTTGTTTTGTTGCTAGTGGGGTGGGACTAAGTCCCTTGTACTGCGGCCACTTCTGGCCCATTGTACCAGCCCCAGATGATAGGTGAAGGTGATTGTGGAGCATTTGGTGGAATGAAGATTGGCAGGGGAAACCGAAGTACGCGGAGAAAAACTGCCCCAGCGTTACTTTGTCTACCACAAATCCCACTTGACCAGACCCGGGATCGAACCCGGGCCGCCGCGGTGGGAAGCTAGCGACTAACCGCTTGAGCTATGGCGCGGCCTTCGAAGAATGTAAGTCGTCCAGCTATTGTCACATGCCACTTTGAATAAAGAGATCCCGCTGAGTATAACGAGGGCCACGTCAGCGTGTGCAGTGTTGTGTACAGCCTAGACAAGAGTTATGCTCCAGACATCCATATCTGCTGACTAATGAATACGTAATTACCACAATTTTTATATAAATGGATCTTAAACTTGTAGTTCAATATCCCCCTTTCAGGTAACAAAATCTCAGCCCCCCTTGATATGTGGCATAATGTTTTCTTTTCGAAAATTAGAAAAAGAATTAGTTTAACTTCAATTTGTGTTATTGAAATTCATCTTAAATCACTGAACAATATTATGTGTTGTAACAAAACGATGTAAATTGTTAATGTTTTTTTTTCGAAAATTAGAAAAAGAATTAGTTTAACTTCAATTTGTGTTATTGAAATTCATCTTAAATCACTGAACAATATTATGTGTTGTAACAAAACGATGTGATTTGTACAGCTCAAAATTAAAGTAACAATTCTGTGCACGCTTAGGGTGAAAATATTACAAAGACGACGGGCACTCGAGCCCCCCTCCCTCTTTGGATCCTTATACGTCCCATCGTTTGAAAACCGATGTTTTCTGAGATTATTCGCTTTCAATAATATCCAGATTCTTAGAATTACTGCATATAGTAGAAACTAGAAAACAAAACAACGTTTCGGAAACCGAATCTGTTTCCTTCTTCAGGTGAGTGGGGAGATACCTACTGTGTTGAGTAACTTAGAAAGAGCTAACCTCAATCACTGGACCTTATCTCTTTCTAAGAGACTAAATATAGGCGTCTCCTCCTTCACCTGAGGATGGAAACAGATCCAGTTTCCGAAATTTTATGTTTTCTAGTCTCTAGAATACCGAAAGATGGACCGTCTTCGGAAAACTGGTCATTCTGAGCGTCATACACTATCGTCAATATCCGTCTAATATCCGCATCGTTAAATGCAAAATAAATTAGTTTGTTGTTATTTTGGGAGGGCTGATCACTGATGTTATGCACACAATAATTCCCGGGATATTTTCCCCCTAGGCTATGCAGAGTTCCGGCTGCTCTGCCCCTTGATGCTGTACACGGTGTTCGTCCAAGCAAGCATGATGGTAGCTGCGGCCTTCTTAGCCAAAGACAGGCTGGAATATATTACAAAAGAAAATCCGAACTTCGGGCAAGTGCTGACGGAGGCCAGATATCTCGTGTCAGTTCTGTATATTTTCTTGTGGGCAGTTGCTAACTTGCCAGAATCTGGTATCAAAGCCCAATTCATCTCATCGTGGACTGATTACCAGGTAACAAAACTTTGTAAACTAAGAATTACGAATAAACAGCAAAGCTGTCTTTGTGCTTAATTAATTAATCACTATGCCTTGAAGATATATGGAGAAGTGTAGGTGAAATTCCACCATTCTTCACTTCGGCGATAGAAGGTGAGTAATCAGCTTTACGCCCCTGCCGCTTTACCCCTTGCAAAATCACCCCCCCCATACCCATTGGATAGGCCCCAGAGCTGGTCTAGACGCTGTGGAGAACAGAAATATATTTCCCCTGCTGGGAATCGAAACCGGCCGTCCGTAGCACGTAGCTATACCGACTGAGCTATCCGGGATCCTAAGAATTGTGAATATAATAAACATCTTAAATTAAATTGCCAAGAGGTTTAATGAAATATTTGACAATACTGTCACGTATTTAGGGGTGTGTCTATAGACGGGGTATGGATTGGTTATTGGATTTATTAAGACAACTCCTAATTACAAGTAATTATAGTGCTATGGCTGATCCACACACTTCACAAGTCACTAGCACACGCCAAGTCATCTCAGTCTTTTTTAGCTGTTTCCTGGCAACGGATTTATAACACAGCAACTATAAGAGTCTCACTGAATTACACAATCCAGATATTACACATACAGTCTTCTCTTCACAGCCGGAATTTCAACTCTCAACTAACTGCATCGTCCCCCAATTTTCTTCATTACAAACACAAAAATTAAAATTGTACCAAAATGGAAACGAAGTACATATTTTGCGATAAATTTCTTTAAAACTTTGTGACCGCTACGTGTTGACTTCATTTTCTGGTGGTAGAAGCGACTATAGTGTGGGGCGCATGCGTACCGGGATCTTCTCGCATAAGTTAGGGAGTGTGGTCTTGACCTTATTGCGAACTAGTGGGGTGGGACTAAGTCCCTTGTACTGCGGCCACTTCTGGCCTATTGTACCAGCCCCAGATGATAGGTGGAGCAGTTGGTGGAATGAAGATTGGCAGGGGAAACCGAAGTACTTGGAGAAAACTCGCCCCAGCGCCACTTTGCCTACCACAAATCCCACTTGACCAGATCCGGGATCGAACCCGAGCCGACGCCGTGGGAAGCCAGCGACTAACCGCTTGAGCTATGGCGCGGCCCTGGTCTTGACCTTACTATCATCTTGTGGAGCCTATGTTCGTTATTCTGTATGTTACCCAACAGGTTGTTTATTTGGAGTGAAGTGCCGATACGATAGAGTCTACTTGGTTCTAATTAGAGTATACTGTTGTGAAGACTGCATACTTTTGCATACATTTTGTGTGCCTCATTTATTTACGATTTTCCATGTGGCACTTGACACAAATACATTTATAAGTTTGTTTCAGATCCAATCAAAATACAATTTAATATTCTTTTAGGATAAAAATATATTTTTGTTTTGGTCTTCTGAGTTATGACATCAAACATTGAGCAGATATTTCGTACTGATCTTTGCTCTCAATTTCAGAGACAATATAAGGCTGCGGTAGGCAAGCCCCTTGATCTGAACTTGAGACAACAAATGAAAACAGAGGCTTTGTTCATAATTGTTCTCTCTTCTGTCGAAACGGCCTTCATGTTCTTCTCGCTGGACAAAATCAAACTCTGGTACACAATTCCAATCTCGTACTGCGTGCTCTCATGTGTGCTGAACACTGGCTTATGGAGAGGCACAGGACTGGCCCTGGTTACAGCGGCAAGAAGCCTCATAGGAGATTTGGAACAGGTGAGTGGAAAATGACAGAGGGAGAACAAACTATAGGCAGCCTGCCAATTGTGATCTGGCCACGTTCTAACCCTTTAAAAACTGCTAAAGTCAAAGTTACCGTATTTACGCATGTATAGGCCGCACATTTTTTGCCAAAAATTCAAGAGGAAAACTGGGGTGCGGCTTATATTCGAAATATTCGAAATCACACTTCATTTAAAAAAAATTATATTCATAATTAGTAATACAGAGTGTTCTACTTCTGAAATAATATTCCAAGAAAATTATTTTTTCTATAATTTCTGTCTGAATATTGTGCTGCGGCCTATACACGCACGCGGCCTATACATGCGTAAATACGGTATTTTCTGACCGACGGTCAATCGGCCAGTCTGTCTTGGTGTCAAGCACCCATTTGGTACCCAAGACCAGATTTTTATTACTGTGAGACAGTTGCGGGTTTGTTGAAGTGGAGCGCCTTCTCTGATGAGAGGACGGGTCTGTCGTTTACAATAGCTGCTGGTCCTCGCCAGCGGAGTTATTCGCCGGTCCAAGTCCCGCGGGATTCATTGCATTATTTTACTGCCTCCGATTCGAGACTTCCAATCTTCGAACCCAACACCCCGGGAGATTACAGACTGTGAGAACTATACCAGAGAGAAGTAGTAATGGGGGGGTGGGGTAGAGGGAGAGACTACATTGCCAAAACCATGTCATGACCATAGTAAGTAAGTAAGTAAATAAGGAAGGAAGTAGGTATAGTAAAGTACACCCTCCCTAACATCAGTTAGCTACAGGACACAATCCTGAGTCAGTTTAATCCAATTCATATTCTGTCCTCCATTTCTTTTTTCCTTGGCACTACAGCCCCAGTGGGCCTAGGCCTACCTCCACGGACTTTTCCGTTCACTTCGGTTTTTCTAAACCTTACACATTCGGTAGGACTCCTTGGCTGCGTGATCAGCTCGTCGCAAGGGTCCTCAATTTCCATAAAATTAAAAAAGCAGTGTAGTGAAGATTAAATTCTTAGATGTGACGCCATGAAGTCTCGTAGGAGTTCACCAACCTACTGTATATATCTTCAGAATCGAAAATAAGTCAAAGAAGTAGACCTTCCTGCTTTATACTTATTGGTTGCTGGGCTTACTATATTATCCTGATGAAGTAGTCAGTATATTCGTCCGAAACGTTGGTAAATTCCTACCAGACACTATATGACGTCACATCCCAGATGGTTAGTAGTATTCACAATCAACTTCCGGAATGATCTCAAATTCAAACAGGTTGATTTCATAATGGTATCCTCTTGATTTGCAGGTTCTAGGCATGTGTGAATTCGAATGCGCAGAAAAGATTGCAGAATACAGGATGTTATGGTTAAAACTGGGCAAGTTAACACAAGACCTAGGCAACTGCATGGGTTTTACATACGGAACACAGGTGAGTCTAAATTGTCCATGCAGTTGCGTCATACCTTCAGTAGCCAACCTTACGAAAGAAAAGTCCCTGTATGTTCAACGAGCTCCACG